TGTAGCTCAGAACCGACATATCTGATAACAATCATGACTTAATTTCGGTTTAACCCTTGTTTTTAATCCTTATATTAGCAACCGTGTACCCATATAGGTTCATGTTTTTAATCATTTTTGCAATTCCTTTTACACAATTTATTACGTTCTGGTGAAAAACTGGTAAAATTATTACGAATCTCTATTTCTTAAATACATTCATTTCGAGTTTTGCCAGTGTAAAAAATTTATAAAAAAATATTACAATACCGAAGTTGAACAAACGCAAAAATTTTAATTGCTAACACAAAAATTAATGTGTTCCGCGGACATTTAGGCGAATTTTCCAAAACGCAAACATTGTTATCTTGTCAAACAAGGTGTCTATATTATGATATAAAAACACAATAAACATATACATAATAAATAATGACACCGAAAAGTAGCAGTTATCGATTGAAATAAATAATGCATGGTTTGAAGAAATTTCAAAACAAGTTTTACTTCACTAATTAAGTTTCCTTAAAAAAAAAAGACTTTTTGAACAACTCAATAGAATTGGGGGAAAGTTCCCTATATTGAACCACTTAAGCAAATACTTCCATATATCGGAAACGTGTTGATATTTTCGAGCAAAAAAATTTGTTTTCAAAATAGCGTTAACGGATCAAATTGGGAAACCGGTTTCCTGGTTTGGACCACAAGTAATATTTTGCGTATTATAAGAATATAAATAGCAATTCTGATAATGTAAATGTGATTTATCAACATACTAAAGAAAACTATATACAATTTCTATTTGAAACTATAGAAATAAACTATGTGAAAATAAAAATAACGTAAATCATGCACCAGTATGAAATAAAATTACATCAACCAACCTTGAAATTAAAATTGCATGAGACTAAAGATATTACTTATTGTACAGCTTTTCATTTCAGTGTCTTTAAACTAAACCGTATATGAACAATATAATTCCATGCTAAAAGATATCGTCAAATCAATTTACTTTATCCCTTCTGTGTTGTGAATACCATATGCGCTACAAATCAAATCACCAAACGGCAGGACGGTTTCTAGTTATGGTTTCTATATAGTTACACATCAAGTACGAAACCCGCTTGAAACGTGTCCGAGCTTAGTTTATGGCTTTGTACGCAAATGAACTTTCGCAGTTAGCGTACGTTCGCATTGATTCTGCATGTTTTCATTCAATAACCATTTGCAGTTTCTTAAAGGGATATTTTCATTTGAAACGGCAGTGTTCAGGCTTACTTTGGAAACTTTTTTTTAATCTGCAAACTACTTTTCATTGATTTCTTACACATGTATTTACTAACATTTAAATTGTACTACGCAATTTTTGAAAGTTAAAACATTTAAAAGTTTAAGAGTTACACATTGTTAAAGAAAGTTATTTTCAAAGATCATGTCTTGATGGTTGACATGATTCTGGCGGTTGCACAGTGCGGCTGTCCGTGGACAAAACCCCTAAATTCGACTATTCACATAAAGAAAATTGAAAGTTATCAATGTGTTGCTAAGTAGCCCCTGCTATATAAATTGATTTTCATTTCAAAAATAATTTTGTGCAAATAAATTCTGTTTCTCTATTTATTTAACGTTTGAATCGAAACGCAAAATATCCATCGTGATAAATTAACTTCATAATATCTCAATAATATAATGTAATATAATGTAATAAAAATATAACCACCATATGCTTAGCTCTATGCCTTACAACTTTTGTCTGAAACATTTTTTTGTATCACTCTTACTTTTTAGGTTATTGAGTTTTATCCAGAAAACGGCCGTTTGGCCGCACTGTGCGTTGTACTGAACGGAAACAAGGAAACGAGGTGTGATTGTATTTAGTATAAATATGGTTATAGGCTTTATTGAAAAGATTCAAATATCTCATTCTTCAAAAAAGTGACGGCAGTTCAAAGTTCAAGTTGCTTTTTTTTAGGTTTCTTTTCTTACTACATATCAGTATAATAAAAAATTATAAAAACAAGATTTTTTAAGATTCAAGTACTGGCTATAATGACAAATCTGCTAAAGAACCTGTCCAAAATTCAAATCAATCAGACAAGTAGATCTTGAGATATCATGTCAACTATGTAGAACGCGTTTAAAATTTTTGCGTTTCTTACGTACAGGACTGATAGTTTTACGGATTCGGAAGCTATGCATCGAATACTTACAATTAATGAGCAATTGCAGGATCATATAGGGACATAAAATGAGACTTAACCCTTTGCCTTGTAATGATGAGTCAGACTCGTGGTAAAGATTAGAGACTAGAGATTAGAGATTAGAGACTATTTTGGTATTTTCAATATTCCACCTTCAATATTTAATACGTACTTACAATAAATGAAACACTTCGTAATATTTCTTACAACTTGTTGACAATAAAATTAGTTGAATTTAGTCGCAAATCACTGAAATCATATGACAAGCAGTTAAAAGGCATAAACATGCATTTAGTAAGTGTCAAGTGAGGGGGAAACATACATATATCTGCTGTTACATATTGCGATATGCCATAACAGTCCTGTTCAAATATCCGCAATCATTATTTTTAAGAATATCTTTTGATATAGATATTTTTTAACAAATGCACTTTAAGAAAATGCAAGAAAAAAAATCAATTTTTTCAAAATTTCAAATGAAAATACCCCGTTGACACGTTGGATGCCATGCAGGTCACAGGTGATCCCAATTAAATCGAATTACTGTATCGACATTCAGCTAGATGAATGTGTAATAATCATAATACAATTCAATCAAATGATTTCATATTATATGTTATCTATTTTGTGTATTTCGCTCTATGAAATCATGCGGCATTCAACATGTTAAACATCAACTTTTGTAAGCGTCGCGTTTGCCATTACAATACATATGTCTATTTGTCGTAAATTGTTTAGCACTTCCTAGTGAAACACAACATTTTACAGCTTTACCAACCTCCATAGTTTTAACGCAACTTCTATGACTCAATCTTGGGCGTTCAAATAAAACTTTATTTGGGTTTGTTCACAATACAAAAAAATATTGCTATTGCTGAATAATGTTCTTGTTCATTAATCTTGTATCAATAAGATTAATCAATTTAGTACAGTTCAAGTAAAAGTAATCTTTTTTTGCATAGTATTAATACAACTATGTAGTACAAATTCGATCACACTCCATTAGGGTCTCAAGATTGTTACTTACCTTCATTATTTATAGTTTAATTCGCAATTATAGATAGAACTTATTTACGGAATAGTGGAAGTCCATTCGGAATTGAATTTAGCATAAAGAATTCGTGTTATAGGAATTTTCTATATGAAAAAAGAACTAAAATAAAACTAAACAGTTGTATGGCTGATAGTTCTACATTTATTTCAAAAAAGAAACTTATTATTAACGATTACTTTTGAATCTGAAAGTGAATTTTTTTTTTTAATTTTACACAGGGGGTTCCAAAGTATGGGACTGAAATATTCGTATTACTGGTACAAATACAAATTGAAATGTCCTTTACCATTTTACAAGTGGAGGTTTTAAGCATATTAATAACTAAAAATTAAAGGTTTGATTTCTCTAATGTAAAGAGCAATCGATGATGCTCTCAATGCATTTTCTTGAACATCCTGCTATCATTTTTTCAGAATTTTTAAAATATTTCAATACATTTCAACAGAATATACCTCTGTTAGGCATTAAATTATAGTTTAATAGCTACGTATTTTATCAACATTTGTTACAATTATTCATAACATCATTATTATATCATACATGTATAAGTATAATTATTGTGTTTCTTAAAAGTTCTCAATTGAATTAGTAAACTACCATATTAGATTATATTTCCAGAGTACAAAACGAAGAATACTTTAGATTATGAAGAGTTACTTAGTTAAATCTTAATTTTATAATAGTCTCAGTTTAAGAAGGAACACCATCTCGAGACGACCTAAACATAGGTGAATTTTAGGAATTTTTCTTATTAATAACTATTAAGTGAAAGCTTGTATCTTTTCTGAGTGTATAACTGTGACCTTCTGCTTTATATTTATATTTTTTCTAAGCAAAAATTCTAAAAATATATTATCTAAAATGTTTTTGGTTTTCCCAGGTTTTTCCACTTCAACTGCTTGCTATTTCTATAATAATTAAAATTTTGGAAAATCCGTAAGCTACATTTTAGAAAATATATTTTTATTTATAAATCCATAAGTATTTTTGTTTTCGGATGTTTCACTTGTTTGCAATTGAGTCATTCAACAATGAATGTTTTACGAAAGGGGATTCCAAAGCTAACGATTAACTGCGCTATTTTGTAACATTTTGGCTTAAAAAAAATATAAGTATAAAGCAGAAGGTCACAGTTATATACTCAGAAAAAATCACAAATTTTCATGTAATAGTTATTAATAAAAAAATTCCTAAAGTTTACCTATGTTTAAGACGTCTCTATAGGTGGTGCCTCCCCTTAATAGAAACCATACGTATCATTTGATTTTTTCAATTGTTCTAAGTTTCTGAGCCTGTAATGTTCATTTAATGCCTGATAGATTTATATATTAATAATCACTGTTAGGCATTATTCGAATAAAACTTGGTTTGAATAACAATAACGAATAAATAGTTTATCGTTATTCAGTTATTTGTGCGACAAATATTTATTCGTTATTTGCTATTTGTCAGTTTTTGTTATCATTTACAAATTCGACTGACAGCAAGGCAATATAATTTACGTTTACTGTATTATTACATGAAACGTTGGACAAAAGTTATTTAAAATAACGTATAAATTCAATGAATTTATTATCAGTGAATGATGAATATATTATTTATTCGTTGTTCGCAAACAATAATCAATTGAATTTATTTATCATTCGTTATTTTGAATATCTTTTGACCAACCTTGCTAATTATATCGATCGTTCAATCAATGAAATTGTAATTATTTCTTTGTTATATACAATATTTACATTGTTCTAATTCAAGTGAATTTAATATAGGTTCAGTCCCCAAGTATCGACAGAATACATGAGCTGGATATTCGAATCGACAGAGACTCATATACAGATATGTTTCAAGATATTGTTTCTATAAAAACAACACTCCTGAAACTGAAGCAATTACTTCAAGGGGTATGTTGATTAACCAAACATCTGTGATTTCTTTTCAATAATACCGCTTGCAATGAAGTGTTTTATTTGTTATCAAACACATTCCATTTATTTACATTGCACAGTATTAATGAGCTTCTCTATTAACACACTATTTTTTTATTATTTTTCATTATTATCACCAACCATGATTTATCCTTCAAGTCAGAAGAGAACGGGTTGACGAGGGTATGTTGTATTTTTTATTTTTTTTACTGCACTAAATTTTATGTTCTATTAAATTATTAATATTTTTTACATAAACTATCGAATAATATGTAATGTATTCTTTTGTATCCACAGACTGAAACTCTCACCCCATTCGATAATACTGTAAAGGTAGTTACATTTTATAGATCTTTTCAAGGCTTTATTAAACATAAAAGATTTAATCAAATTTACTGAAAAAATAATTTCATTTTTATAAATAATAAAATTTCAGAATGGCCTCTTCTATAACCTGAATGAAGGAAGCACTGTAGATGCTAATACTTCACCAGGAAGCGAAGATAGCAGCATTGTTGATGAATTGGCTGATTTACGCAGACAAGTAATCTTTTTGCAAGGCCAAGTAGAGGACAAAGACCGAACTATACAAGTGTTACAGGTAAGTTGGATGATTCAGGTCTATTAATGGATAATTTAACCAGTTTGTTTTACAGTTTCAAATGTCGAAGCTTCAAGGACCTAACAACATTGAAAGGCAAAATTGTGCTTTAAATAATAGTCGTAACACTATTCTATCTATGGACACTTGCAATGCTGCGACACAAACAGACAAGGTAACTTTGTAATTTAATATTTCATAAGTACTATAGTGTATTAGTTAGTAAGAGAAATTTAATAATTGGAGAATTATTATTGAATGTTGTCCTTTTATCTTGCTGGTTATGATTATTCTGGAAATGATTTGAATAATGATAACAAATTTATTTGTTTTCGCTTCCCAGCCAAAAATACACATATAATACAACACCAGTTAATCACTGCACTAGAAACTAGACAATTGAAAGCAATATTAATAGTTGCTTCACACATCTTTAATTCTCATAACACATAGTTTTCAATTTACTATTTTCTTTAATTACTTTATTACTTTATTCACATTGTTTATTTATAATATGTTTAATTATGGGCACAGACACGCCCAGGATCAGCGGGTACTTCACTCCTACAAACACTACCTAGGGACGGTGTTATGGGGCCTGTAGTTAGGTGAGACTTTTTTTATTTGATCTCGCTCATAGACTGTGTTCAAATGCAATTTTATTTTGAACACTGTAAAAGAATAACAATATTACTAATTTTTCAGAAAGATCTTAGGAAATATTTTTATATAAAAGAAGATTTTGATGTTTTATTATGTAAATAATCATATATTTCACGTACATTGCACATTACATTCCTAAGACTTTTCTTAAAAATGTTTTCTCATTCAACTTTTGAAATAATATTTAATTGCAATTAATTTTTATAGTTATTTATAACAAAAAAAAATATTTACATATTTACTGCCTTGAAATTAAAATAAGAAAACTAATAATGATCATATGACTTATTACTATTCTATTCAATGAAAATTATGATACATTACAAGTATTTCTTACATTTCATAACAAAATTTGTCATAAATAACCTATTGTTTTTGCTGCTCTGGTCATTTACCTTGCTTCGATGATTCCATATGTGACAGCTTCAGGATCGGGAAGGTAGAGTCTGTCAGCGTGTGTGATTTAATATTGGGATATTTACTTCTTTCTGCATTAAATGCTCTTATATTCATGCATCTTTTTTACATAAGAATCTCTTATTTGATCATTCGATATGAAAGCTTCTAGTTCCTTTTGCATGTTAGAACAATATAATGATCTTTCTCTGTTCATTTTGTTGTTTGCTGATCTGTCTCATGATTTTGATTGCTTATAAGTGTGTGTAAACAGTAGGACACTACTTTCATAATAAGTTTAGACATAATATTCTGTTTTATATGGGGTTTGTGAACGAATCTTATAATTTTTATTTTT